CATGTTTTGTCTTGGCTACATAAAATTATTAATACTAAATATATGTTTTATATTTTGTAAATATATATTTACTTAAAAATTTTTATATTATACTAATATATCTAAATATATGTAGCTAATCAAAATTTAATATTTAAGTTGTATTACATAAATTTGCAAATTAAATATTAAAAGCTATAATTTAATTGGCTTTCAGATGTTCTATAGAATATGTGGGCAATATAAGAAATAAGCTTTACTAATAATTAGTAATCATTAATTTTTTAATAGCAGAGTTGCAAAGTTTGCAGAGTTTGCTCACCTATTTTATAAAACATTCTGGCTTTCTCTAAATACATATTTTAAACTAGTTTATATATATTGTATATAAAGAAATTTTTACTTTAGTTTAAGTCTTATTCTTGTAAAAAGTTTTATAATTTGACTCTAATTAGAAAAATCTTTGGTAAATTCTTAATACAAAGTATTAATAAAGATAAAAATAAAACCTTATCATAAATAAGAAAAATTTAAATAAATATAATTTAGATTTAAGTAAATTTCATTTGGGTTTAAATAAATCTATATTAGGTTTACTTAAATACAATTAGAGTTTATTTAAACCCAAATTGGGTTTATTTAAATCTAAGTAAATCTAAACTAAATTTATTTAAATTTAATTTGAATTTAAACAAACTCAAATTAGATTTAAAATAAATTTAAACCAAGTTCAAATAAACCTAAACCAAGTTTAAGTAAATCTAAACCAAGTTTAAGTAAACCCAAGTCAGGTTCAAGTAAATGCAAACAAGGTTTATTGATTCAAGTAAACCCAAGTTAGAATTATTTAAATCCATTCCAGATTCAAATAAACCCAAGTCAGGTCAGTTAGGGTTCAAGTAAACTCAAGTAGGGTTTATTTGAACCCAATCCAGATTTAAGTAAACTTAAGTTGGGTTTATTTGAACCAAATCCGGATTTAAGCAAACCCAAACCAGGTTTAAGTGAATCCAAGCTGATCCATTTGAACCCAAGCTGGGTTTAAATGAATCCAAGTCAGGTTCAAGTAATCCTAACTTAGGTTTAAGTAAACCCAACCCAGGTTCAAGTAAACCCAAATAAAATTATAAACCCGGGGGCAATGCATGGCCCTAAGAGCTAAAAAAAAATACTTTAAAATAAAAAACTAAAAATAAAAAAGTTATAAAATTATAAAAAATTAAAACTAAAAATAAAAAAGTTATAAAATTATAAAAAAATTAAAAACTAAAAATAAAAGTTATAAAATTATAAAAATATTAAACTTAACCCGGAGCAACGCTCGGATCTGAACCACAATATTGCGGATCTTAATTAATTTCTCTCTAATTGCCCAAGCAATACGTTATACGTAATATGGTATTGTATAACACGGGGTTATAAATATATTCGTTTTTTTTTGTTAGATATCCAGTTTCCACACAACCAATACCTACGGCCCTTGTTGGTTATCATTTAATAAAGTAATCATAAGGTTAATAAACCTTATATGATTCTACGTATGAACCATTTATGGGAATTGATGTTCTAAAAATTAATGCATGGGGTTTTATTCCTCTAGAATAAAAACTATCGCAAGTTAGTCATCTTCTGTAAATCATTATCCAATCATATAGCATAAATCCGAATTTAATCATTAACATTATTAGTGATCAAACGCAGATTTTTATAGGGTTGAAGCTTTATGTATTATATAGTATATTAATTCTAAAGGTTAATAAAAAGATGGTAAAATAAATACAGTAAGTAACCTACGTATTAACATCAAAATAAGATATAATAGAAAATCAACAACTAATATGCGAATAAATAGAATGCATTAAGCAGCATAATTTTTATTCATAGAGTCAAAGTAATCTTTGATAAGTCAGGATATTTTTATTACTATTCATTGTTGAAAGCTTTTACTTGTTATGTGTCATTCTTCATGTGTTGTTTGTATACGTATCAGAGAACAATATATTATCGATATTATCGATTTTCAGTTTATGTGCAAAACACATCTATGCTGAGATTTTCATTTGCATCATTACTTATTAAAACTTTGGATTACCTATTCATGAAATAATTGTTCTTTTTGAATATTATTTTTAAGTATATGGATTAAAACATTCTTGATGTAGGTTGGAAGCTCCTGGATATTTTGCTTGGTATCCATTTACATTATAAATGGATTTTTAAATGTATTTTAACTAGGGATGGATCAGTCCTGAAAAGACCGAATAAGGACCGGTCTTTTTAACCAGTCTTATGGTTAACTGGTCCTCGGTCCTGAGACCAGTCTGGACCGGTCCTCATGAATAATTCAAATAACTAATCAAAAAATATGTTACTTAATCTTTTATTTTCAATTACCGGACGTCATATGATTTGATTTTCTCCGCTAGCCAATAAGATTAAATAATTAAGGACCGTTATTGGAACCGAGGACTGGACTGGACTGAAAACATCAATAGACCGGTCTTTTTAGGACCGGACCGGACTTGTCCATCCCTAATTTTAACTAGAGTTGCAGACATTGGGATATCAATTTATATTATGACGTATTGACGTTACATATGTATTAACTATAATTATAACATTCATTAATATTTCAAGTATTCAAGTATATATTTGATTAATATCGTCGGAAAATTATTTAATATATGGATTTAATGTGTAAAGAATTGACCTATCATACCATTTGGGAATGGACCAGGAAAACCCGTCTTCAAAGGAGTCCCAGGTTTTAATTTATTTATAGATATTGTTATAAATTTTTTATGCAACAAGTTCACATGCTTGAATTCAATTCGCCAAATTAACTTGACAGTCTTCTGATTGGTTGTTATTCTATTTTTAGAGCGCTATGATTTCGAAGAATTGAATTTTCAAATCTAAAAATCTTAATATTATATTAAGCTAATGTAAAATAACAAGTGTATATAAATAAGAACCAATACTTTAACTTGAATTGAAAATTGTGAAATCAACCAAAAAGTGCCAAAGGGATTTTCCTAGTTTATTTCCCATTTGAGGACGCTGTAACAAGATCTTCCGACCTCAATCTTTTTTTTTAGGAATTTATTAATTACACTAATCCAAAATAAATTATTGTAAAAAGCAAATTTGTGCTAAAAAATCTACATTATTAAATTTTATTAAAAAACAAAATAAGTGGTTATAAAAGAATTTTGGCGTCATTCTTTACTTTTTTTTGATTTTGACTATTCTCACCGAATATCATCTAGCACGAAAAAGACCTATTGTGTGATCTGCAATAAGAAATATTTATCCGCACCTTACTATGATCGTACCAACAGAATAACGAGTTATTTTGATCATTATCAAATAACTCCGTTATTTGATGATGACACAATCATCATAATCAAAATAACTCGAGTTATTCTGTTGGTTCGGTCGTTGTAAGCCACCGGATAATACCGTTATTGAATGCTACTCAGCCAGATAATAGCCAGATAATGACGTTATTGGCTGCTTCGCATCCAATAACTATATTTACAAATACTTAACGTTATTGGCTGCTTCGCATCCAATAACTATATAATATTAATTACGCGTTTACACATACGTACGTACGTACAATCAGCTTTACTTTATTTATGCCGGTAATACAAACTTCTAAAAAGGATGCGTTAGTAAGATTACCCCAGTTTCTGGTTCATTTATCTATGGTTCACTATAGATGTTCATTATGATAATGAATATCTACAAATATATGAATTATATAATCATGAGCTAAAATAATATAATATGAATGAGATTAAGTATTTATCCGAGTTCTTTTCGCTCTTTACATAAAAGGATTAACTTTGATTCTTATTATTTCTTTTATTTGTTGCAAATTATAATAAGACTATTCGATTTGCAGTTAGAGATGTGCCAATTTAAAATAATTTCTAAAAGAGTAAGTACCATGTATGTGCGTTGTTTAGAAGTTATTCCTATATGGGTAATTATTTTTGAACCCGGACCAATTTTATATTTATGACGTAATGATATTTTGGTCTGGTTTCACCCATATTAGATATCTAATGGCTAGAAATGAACGAAGCTAATAAAATAAAAAATACAATAAGAAATAGAAATAAGAAATAAAAATAAGAAATAATAATAAGAAATAAAAATAAAAAATAAAAAAAAAATAAATAATAAAAATAAAAATAAGTAATAAAAATAAGGAATAAAAATAAGAAATAAAAATAAGAAATAAAAATAAGAAATAAACATATGAAATAAAAATAAGCAATAAATATAAGAAATAAAAATAAGGAATATGAAATAAAAAAAAATCAAATCATGAGTGGTATGATTATGTCAAATTCAGATAACTCAGATGGTCAATTAGATTTCCTCAGCGGACTGTGGAATTTGACTTTTATTTAAATACTCTAAATTCATAAAATAGACACATTTGATATTCAATTTTTCTTAAATCAAAGGTCAAATTCCACACATCCGTCGTTAGCGAATTGCTGATTAAAGTTCTACATGAGTATCCTAAAATTTATCATAATTGCAAGGGTGGGAGCAGCACATTAACTGAATTCTTAAGAGTAAGACTCTAATTCTAAGGTCTTACACTCCACTTCTCTCCAATTATTTATTAATCAAGATTAATCAACGTAAAATCAAGATTAATCAACGTAAAATCAAGATTAATTAACGTAAAATCAAGATTAATTAACGTAAAATCAGGGTTAATTATTAAATCCGGATTTAATTATTAAATCCGGTTTCAGGATGTTAAGAAAATCTTAATTGGTCAGTGATCATGTTTTGATCAACATAAATTAACTAATCAGATGTAACATCTTCCCAAACTATTTTATTAAGCTCGTACCAAAATATTTAATAATCTATTAAAATTATTTACACAGTATTAGTCATTAATCATATCCAGTTCATGTCAAACACGATGACGCACGGGCCAGAAGATTTTTTGTCGATTTTTCAATTTAACAATCTTACATAATAATTTTTCACGCGCTCCTCAGAAAAAAAAAATAATAAATTTGTAAAAAAACCGCAATGATCACACACACAAAAATTTCAATATAAAAAAATTTCATATTTTTTTTTCTTGTTTTTTTCTTTTTATGTTTTTTTTTTTTTTTTGTTGTTTTGTTTTGACATATACAAATAAATCACTTAGATCCGTTTAATTAAAATGATATTTGATAAAAAGAGAAAAAATACAAAAAAAAAAAAAATCAGACTAAAAAAAAAATAATTGTTGCATTTCCGAATATAAACTAACAATTATAAAAATAAATATATAAAAAAAAGAAGAAAAAAAAAGACAATAAATTGAAAAAAAAGTATTATTAAAAGAGATAAGTAAAAATTGATCGTAACGAAAAGATAAACGGCTAAAAAAAAAAAAAAGTAAAACAATAACGAAGAAAAAATCGCGAATGGCTAGAATTAAAAGGTTGAAGACGAAACGAAAACGAAAGGGAACACATTAATTACGATACAGAAAAAGTATGTTTACGTTTCAAACGTAAACAAATATTTTTTTTTTTTGATAGAATCGTTAAGAACAAATTCTATCGAATAACTAGAATAACTATTATTATTATTTTTTGGCTTTAGAGATTATGTTTTTAAGAGGCTTTTTTTGTTTTTTTGTAATATAATCGATGAAAATATAAGAATATAGGCTAAAAAAAATTTTGAATAAAAAGCCATGTCTTAATTATGAAAATCGCCGCAGGGTAATAATCTTTTGTTTTTGGTACCTTCCCTAATCTTAAAAAAAACTTTTGTTGCTTAATGGTTTTGATATCATAAAGAAAAAGTCTTGAAACATAAAATTTCTTAATCATCATCCAAGAAATTCTCGACATTGAGAAATTAGGGTCTCAAAGTCGGGAAAAAAAAAAAAAAAGTCTGGAATCGATTAAGAAGGCTTAAAAAAGTTACGGTTATATGAATCACATAGGTCTATAAAAATATATGGTAACGAAAAAAAAAATGATAATTAAAAAAAAAAAAAAAATACGAAAAAAATAAGATTCGATAAATTTCAAATTGGTTGGTTTGGCTTGGCAAATTTTTTTTTTTTTTTTTAAAGTTTTCTAGCGAACCCGGCGTTAATGCTGATGGAAGGCTGATATTCCTCGCATTCGGTTCCAAGTTTTTGAATCAATTCAGAGTACTCTTCCTCAGTTTGAAGACTAAGGTGCTCGTGGGTAAGCGAGGCAGTACCCATAGTAAAAAGTTTGAATGCGGAGAGGAAGAACTCTCCCACCTATTATTAAAGAAAAATATATATGCGTATAAGTTACTGGTAATAGTTGTAAAAAAAAAAATTTTTTTTTTTATAAATTTTTGACTTACCATTCCTGCCCAGTTTCCCATTGGAACAGGAAACTTGTTAATTTGGACATCACAAAATCCTTTTTCAATTAAAGTTTTATCCAAATTGACCAATAGATCAACGTCGATATTTTTCGAGATTTGGATGTCCTTCCAAGCCCTGATCAATGAATGTAAAAGAGGACCAGCATTGCTAAATTTCCGGATGAAAATAAATAAAAATTGTATAAAAATTGTATAAAAATTGTATAAAAATTGTCAATGTTTAATTCACATTACACTGTATAAATACTGTATTAAACACGAGAATTTTTAAATAATACTAACGCTGGGCAAGTCGAAATATCTTGATCCTATATTTTAAAAGAGAACATTAATTAAAAAGAGAATAAATAAATAAATTTAAAAAAAATTTACGAAATAATGAAATAATAATAAAAATACCAAAAATTCAATGTAACCCCCGGGTTTGGTTACTCTAGCAATTTCTTCGAGCAAATTGCCCCCGAGGGGAAGCCAGAATAATGTCAACCTAATATGTACAAGATCAAACATGTTATCCGGGTAGGGGAGTTTTTCTATATTAATAGATAAAATAAATGTTTATGATTAATTGCATTAACATAACTGTATCAACAAAAAAAGATTATTAAATTAAAAAAATAGACTTACTTAGGAAATCTCCTTTTTCGAAGGTGCAATTGTGAGGATATACCGCATCGGGTGTTCTAGGCTCGATGTCAATGCCATAAAAATGGCAGTTGGGGAAATCACTAAAAAGTCAATTCAAGAAAAAGATCAATACCAATATTAATATTGATATTATCGATGAAAAAAAAGAGGTTAAAAATTTAAATTAATTCGTACGTAGCCATTTCCATCATCCAAGCACCACCACCGTATCTATATGATAATTATTTTTATTAGTGTGAAAATTTAATCAATTTTTTTGTTTGTTTTGTTGAATTAGATGAGAATGCTTACGCAATGTCCAAGCAAGTCTAAAAAAGTTAAAAGTTGTATAAAGATTAGTAAAATTATCAATGACAAGTATTTTCGGCAAATAATCAAAATTTCAATTTACCTTCATGGTGGACATGTCAATTGGACTGATGTAGTTGCTTTTAAGCACGGATTTGAACACATAATGCTAAAATATATAATGGTAATTGGTAATTGAATTCAACATGAGCGGAGAGATCGGAGTGCGAAAATTGTATACTCACGAATAATAAATCCCGATCGGTCTATGAATTCGTAAAAAGAGTAATTTTTTTTTTAAAAAAAAAAAAAATGGTTATTCAATTTTAATTTTTAAATAAATATTAACTTTTTTTTAATATTTAATTACATACATCACTCTCGGTTACGGGAATAAAATAAGGAGAGGATTCATCCTCATTAATATCATGTAATAAATTTTCGGTCATCATTATAAAGAGGAGTGAGTCTCGTTGAATGTTTTTTTTTTTTTTTTGCAAGTTTTTTTTTTTTTTTTTTTTTAAAGGAATTGATTTAACGTTAAAAAAGTAAGGAGTTCAAGCGAAAGGTATTGATGGAGAGGGAAAAGAATGCGAAAGTTTAATGAAGGAGAGTGGAGAGTTAATAGCTGGTAAAGAAGGAAAAAAAAACCGTACAAAGACTGAATAAAGGAATGAAAAGTGTTTTCGACTCTTTTATATAACTACCAGGAAAAAATTTTTTTTTTTTTTTTTAAAGAATGGGTTTTATATATATTAATAATAATTTAATTATAATTTAATTATATATTATATAAATAATAAAAGCTAATCAAAAATATTTAGAGAACTAATAAAATGAATTATTTATATTATAACTGAACGCCGAAGCATTTTATTTACAATAAAATAATAACACCAAACTCCGAGTATTTTAGATGTGTAGTATTATGCACCCCTCAATCCCTTTTGGTCTAATAAAAAAAAATATATATTTGTATATATAAAGAGTATATATATTTTATATGATATCATTCCCAAACGAAAAAAGTGAGGTATCAAGGTAATAATAGTAGCACTAACCAACCACATGGTGAGATATATTGTCCCCTCATTGTATGAGAATTCATTATACTAACGTCTCTTCGTTGCACAGTATGAGAACTAATTTAAAGTGACACAAGTATATAAATTTATAAATGAATGGTTAAAACAATATCCAGTGAGTTGTATTCGAGTTTAAGACACAATAAATAATCTCGAAAAAAACAAGAAACTTGGTAAGACAAAGAAATCCATTCACGACAAAATTGGCATTATCCAATCTTAACAATCTTTCGTAAACATCTCTAGCCTTCGCACAGTCATAAACATAACTGCAAGGAAATCAAAAAGTTAACTGGCAAATTGAAAAAATAAACGCGTCGATATTCACACGCAGCCACACGGATTAATGTGAGCGTGGTAGAAAAATGAAATATAAAAAATATATATTATATATAAATAAATAAAAATTACATCAAGGAAAGCCGTTTACAATGAGGAAATGCGATGCATGGTGGAGTATGTACTACTTTGTAATATGTATGTAAGTACGTAAGTCGATAGGTTAACGAAGGTAAAATGGCTTGCAATATCTTTGAGATAAAAAAATTTTTTTTTTGGATCAAGATATATCGATATACGACGTACAAATAATTTTAATTGTAATAAAATATACGTATAAAACAATTTCAGTTAAATAAATTAAATAAATTAACCATATTAATGCACTAGCCGCAAATTATAATTTGTTGGTGGAATAATGCATATAGTGCGTAATATAATGCGTAATATAATGCGCAATATAAATGCGTAATATAATACGTATATATCTGATATAATACTTATACAGTATATCTGATATTGTGGGATGGGATACGTAATCTAATGTTTATTAACAGATAACCACATCGCGAACAAGGCACCGCGTATCAGTGTCAATAATCATGTAAGAGCAGATGAAAATTAGTTGACCAAAGAGCCGAACCATTATTTAAGTTACACATAACAAATATTTGATATTTATTTTACAGTATGGATACACAAAACGACGATGCAGAAAAAGATATTAAATATGGGGGAATAATTAAATAATAATGACACAATAACATTCATAAATAAAAAACAAAGGTTGAAAAAATAAGTTTCACTGAACGAAGAAGCATAACGAAACAGCATTTAGTCCACGATAATGGAAAAGAAATAACAATCAAATCAATCAAATCAATCAAATCAGTTTTAAATCAATCAAGTCAATTGTAAATCAATCAAATCAATTATAAATCAATCAAATCAATTATAAATCAATCCAATTGAATCAATTGAATCAATTAAATCAATTAAATCAATTAAATCAATTAAATCAATTGAATGATAATTTTCCACTAAACAAAAAGGGTAGGAGTAGTTGTTGATTATCGAAAATGGTTAGTTGAATCTTATTGATCCCTAAGAAGTTGTTATTAAAATCTCCGTGGGAACGGAAACCTAAACACTTTTGATATAAATTTTAAAGTTTTTGACTACTGTAAATTCAACTTAAATCATTTTTAACTTCAAAACATAAATATATGATTAATCCTTTAGCGAAGAGATTGTTATCAATCTGTTATCATTACCAAAAAAATGGGAATGTAATGTTGAGATTTCAATTATGCAGGGATCGGACAAAATTCCCCTATCCGCGTGGCTACAATTGCATCGCTGTTTTTCTTGTCACATGATCATATTTTTAGTATAACGAAAATATTGATATATATTTGATATATAATGATATTAAAAATTGCTGCGTAAAGCATGTAAAGCATGTAAGGCATGAATGGTAGATTTGTAGATATGGGAAAAATACAATGATCTTCCATATTAAATTTAAATGAGAAAAAAAAAAACAAGAGACATGAGAAAAGCTTTCTTTGGTATTTTATCAAAGTTATGTGCTTACGGATTTTCAACTATAAAATTTATCGATCAATTCATAACGATAATGGTAATTTTATGGAATACGGGATTCGTTGATGTGTTACCCCACAAATTGTTACATGTTGTCTGATTGGTGTATACAAATATATATTATATGTATAATGTATAATGTATATATAGTATAAATAGTATAAATAGTATATATAGTATAAATAGTATAAATAGTATATATAGTATATATAGTAGATATACGTAATATATATGTACGTATCAAATATGTATCGAATAAAATAAAAAAAGTTTTTAATAAAAAATTTGACAGTTGTTTGTGTAAAAAAGTTTGAATTGTAAAGCGTTCTAGGCATATGTTTTGTTATTATTTTACTTATGAATGCTCATGAATGCTTATGAATGCATTGATTCAATGCTATTCCATTGTTTAGTTTTGATAAAATGAGGTAAAATAAATAATCATTATTATCATTGGACCAAAATTCGTTCTTTGTTTGTTATAAAAAAAAAACCACTACGAATTAGATAACTATAATATATTTATATAAATGATGTCAATTATTGTCGACTTATTATGAATACCATATTTAATTCATGATTTCAAAGGTCATGACTAATGTGAATTGTGGATGATGGTGATTAGGTTAATGTACATTAAATGAGTTAATGTAAATGATGTGGATGATAAATGATGTGAATGATAAATGATGTAGATGATAAATGATGTGAATGATGATTAGTCACTATAATCAGTCACTATATAATCATTCACTATAATCAGTCACTATATAATCATTCACTATAATCAGTCACTATATAATCATTCACTATAATCATTCACTATAATCATGTTAAGAAGCAAACCAAAAAAAGTTAGTATAGAGTAAATTTTTGGAAAGATTTATAATTGGTCATTGACGCAAAAGTAACAACGAATTAGAATTAACGAGATTTCCCAAGA